ATTTCTCCAGAATTACATCTTCGTCTTTGCTTTATCTAATTTCTCTTTACCTTCTAAAGCTCATACTTTGCTGTGCCTATATCTGAAGATATGGATACACTGAAAATAGAAACAGTAAATGAAGGTATAGAAATTTCTCCCCTATCTTCTGCTGGCCAATTTAGTATTGGTGGCCACAAAAACAGGAAGTCCAAAGCCACCAAGTAATCTTGATTGGCTGTTCTCATCCAGGAAACTTATCTGGAAAGAAAGAAATCAGGAGCCTGGTATATGTTGGGAAGAAATTACAGCTAAGACCAACAAGGGATTTGAAGTGGTCAGGAGAAAAACGGGGTTCCCTGAAGTTAAACCCAGCTAGAACTGAGTGGTGGCACTTGAAGTTTGGCTGTACAGACCATGTCAGGTGAACAGAGCTGACAGACACAGAGCCCCAGAATACGGCCGGGCAATGGCCATTGTTTTGCTGACAGCAGTCAGCATGGTCCTAAGGAGTTCTACAGTGTTATTAACCCTTTGAGCAACCTTCTTTGCCCACCTGTTTTGTAGAATTCTCAGGTGGTATCTCTAATTCTATGAAATACACAGCATCTCTTTTGCTCTTGTTCCTCTGGCATGCAGTAATCAGTTCAGCGGCTTAATGGGGTGCCTGCTTCAACCCCGTGTGACTCATACCATTGGCTTGAAACTGTAGTTTTTAGCACAAATGGCTGACTGGCTCTCGATGAGATTGATTGGAGGGGGAAGTAACTGTTAGAAGAGTCCAGATGTTAAATAATGGCACCTCAATGAAAGTTGGAACAAGAGAGCTGAAAACGGAGGGAAGGTGGTCAAGTAAGCTTTGCCTCCAGAATCCATCCCAGATGCACCTGCTCCTCCCTACCTACTACTGCCACTACCACCCTTGTGCAAGCCGCATTAACCTCTCACCTAGACAACTGAAGTCACCTCCTAACTTATCTCTCTGCTTCTAATCTTACTCCCACACAATCCATTTCCCATATACAGAAAAGACCGTTTTTTAAGAACACAAACCAGATGG